GTTTGAAATAGAGAAGAACACTTGTACATACAGATACAATTAAACTATATAATAATAATAATTTCCATAATACATGTTTTTCATTTTTTTATTAATTTATTTTTTGTTTTAATTTAATTTAATCTTTGGTTCAAATAACAACACAGATTTAACAAGACTATAGATGTGTGTGTGTTTGTAGGCGTTTCTGATTATATAATGCATGTATGTATATGAAGGATTTGTTGTGAATGGTATTTGGAATGAATGGATTTTAAACATTTAAAACAAAAAAATATTTTTTTTTTTTGAAAATTTACCTTAACAATCCATTTTATACATACATCTAAGTTTACATGTAAATTTATATATAAATATTATACATTAAAACATATATGTATAATAGTAAATAACATTTAAAGGAAAGTTTTTTTTTCAATAATTAAAACAATATAAGGAACAACATGTAAATATTACAAGTTTTTTTTTTCAATATTCATTTAACAGTTTTTTTTTAATTATTATAGATTTAATTTTGAAATACAGTAGTATTTTCAGCAGTTGGAAGACTATGATGTTATGGGTGAAGTTTTTTTGGTTAGGTGTAATAAAAAATAATTTACAAATAATAATTTATTTTTTTATTAAATTGTAATTTAAAATTAGACATAGCAACAATAATAAATTATTTTAAACAAAAATAAATAAATAATAAATAAAATAAATAATAACACCAATAATTATAACCACATTTTTAAAAATAATTTATGATTTTGTAAATTTAATTAAAAAATGTTTATAGGTACTGAAAAATAACATTGTTTTTATACCCTCCACCATAGTATGGAGGGTATATTAATTTTGTCATTCCGTATGTAACTCATTGAAATATTCATTTCCGACCCTATAAAGTATATATATTCTAGATCAGGGTAAAATTCTAAGACGATCTAGTCATGTCCGTCCGTCCGTCTGAAGGAATCGAGATAGGGTGCTGAAATTTTGTATAGGTTTGTCGTTTGTCTGCAGGCAGGTCAAGTTCGAAGGTGGGATATATCGTATCCCCCAATTTTCGGTATATTGGCGTTCTTGCGCGCGTTTTTCAACCGAATACGCTGATATTTGATACATCGAGTTCTTATTGGATACTAAATGTCCACACAAAAAATTTTAAATATAGGTCCACTTTTTCTGGTAGCCCCCATATAACAGTACCCCCCAATTTTCGATATTTTGGGGTTCTTGAGTGCGTTTTTCAACCGAATTCGCTGCAATTTGGTATTTTGTAGTCGTATATGGTAACAAATCTCCCTACCAACAATTTTTAAATTATAAGTATAGGTCCGGATAGCCCACATATAAGAGTACCCCCAATTTACGGTATTTTGGCGCTCTTGAGTGCGTCTTTCAACCGAATTCGCTGCAATTTGGTATTTGGTAGTCGTATATGGTAACAAATCTCCATACCAAAAATTTTTAATATTCGCCCCATTTTGGGGGTCGTCCCCATATAACCCGATTTTTATATTAAAGTAGTTATATGATTTGTCCCGTGTTTGGGTTTGGTTCTAAGACTCTGTTGTAAACATTTCATCTGTGGAAGATACGAAAAAAAAACTAGAACAGACTAGAACACTGTGCGACATGAAAATTATTCAGGGGTTCTAATGTACCAATTCTGTTTAGTTGGAGTCCCTGTGCCACGAAAATACCGTTGGTTTTTCTGGGTCACTTCGAAAATTAGTTTTATAACGGTAAATGTAGAGAAAAACGTGGTCTCATAGATCTTCAATTTGAAACGTGAATAACTTATAACCCGCATTTAGGCCTAGCCCCTGTGTGTGAGGTACCAGAAGGAGTGAACCGATATACCCCATCTTCGAACTTGAACTAATTTTGGAAGAAATAATACGATGGGCAAAGTTTGAATGAAATTAAAATTTTTTGAAACAAATTTGGTCCAAAGAAACATGGGGTCTAGGGCCAATTTTTAGAACCATAATCGGTTTGTAGACACGGTATAGGTACACTTTTTGGTATCTTCCCTATATTTTTATTTCAAATACCTGTCAGTATAACTATGGTGGAGGGTATCCAAAATTCGACCCGGCCGAACTTAATGATTTTTCACTTGTTTAATAATAATAAGAATATTTTATTACAAATAAATAAAATGATATATTTTATTTTTATAATTAAAAAAATAATAAAATAATTTATCGATGATCAATATTATTATGAAATAAAAATTTAATATATTTAACAAAAAATATAATAAAAAAATATGTTTATTTTATTATTAAAAAAAGTAACAATTAAATAATTTAAAATATATTTTAATAATATTAATTTTTATGTAGCAATTTTTTTATATTTTTCATAATATTTTTTTTAATTAATCTCAACTAAAATCCTTTCATCTATTGCTGTTTAAAACGCTTTTTTGTAATTGCGATGGAATTAAAACTTATATTTGTATGTATGTTATATGCATTTCAGTTTTGGCAGCGTTTCTTCTATTGTGTTGTTTTTTTAGTTTAGTATAGTGTACATTGGTCTACATTTGAAAATATTTTTTGAAAATTAAAAGAAAAAAAAAAAAAAAAAAAAAAACAAAATTAATAAAAAAAATCAATAAATATATATTTTATAAAAATGTTATTTTTTCTAAAAATTAAAAAAAAAAATATTTTTTTTAAAAATTAAAAATGAAAATATATAAAAAATATTTTTTCTATAAATTAAAAAAAATCATTTTTAACCCTTTGTGGCCCAATATATATATTTTTAAAAGTAAAAATATTTTTTCTATAAATTAAAAAAAAATAATAATTTTTAACCCATTGTGGCCCAATGTTTCCCACAGGCAACAAAAAGGTTTACAGCTTACATTTAATACACAGGTAGTAAATATTTAAAAAATATAAAATTTTATAAAAGAAAGAAGGAATTTATGTATTTTTTTAATTAAATATTAAAACATAATTTAAAAATAATAAAAAAATGATACCTAGACCACAAAATGTTTTTTGTTGTTATTTTACTTGTATTTGTTGTGAATCTAAATAATTGTCTATTTTTTTTTGCATTATTTATTTCATATGTCATTCCATATATAAATACATGTTATCTATTCGTTTAATTGACACTTGTAAGTGTGTGTGTTATATATTCTTTGCTTTCTTATTTTTTGAATTTTACTAATATAGTTTTTAATATTTTTTTATAAATTATGGAAAATATCAACATAAAATAAATATTTAACAAAAAAGGACATTAACATTTGTTTTTGTGTTTATAAAATAAGCGTTATGCTTTTTTTTTTGGTTTGTGTGTTTGTTGTATTCTTTTCTTTTGGTAGGAGGACTTTCACATACATAAATATTATGATTTACATACATATATAAATAACAAGCACAGGTCTCTTTTGCAAAGGTACATAATAAGTGTTTATGTATATATTTTTTTGGCAATTTTTTTGTCATATATATTTTTTTGTTTTATATGTACACATAAAGAAAATTTGTAATGAAAATAAAAAAATAAATATAAAAAATTATTATAAAGTGATTTAAAAAAAATTAATAAAATTTGTATTTAATTGTGCATTGTGTGTTTTTTTATTTAAATGTGCCATCTTAAAATTATTGGTTAGTAATAATGGTGCTGTTCTAATTTTTGGGTGTGAGGTGCATTTTGTTTTTGTTGGGTTAGGGTGCAATTTATTTATCGTGCTGTGCATTGTTTTTTTTGTTAATTGACTCTTAGGTCGGTTATTAGTTGCAATTTATAATTTAAATATTTAACATTTACAAATGAAACAACATAAAATCAACAGTTAACAATTAGAATTTGTTTCATTTCAGTTTTTTTGGCATTAATTTTGTTTATGTTTATATTATGTAATAATAGCGTATATGAATATGTCTCTAGGTATGTAAATAGTATGCATGTATATTATTTGATAGTTTCAGTTTTTAATTTTGAGATAAGGAAATTTGGTAAAGATTTCAGTTTTTGGTTACATTTAAGTTAAGGGTAATCCAATCACAAATTTTAAATATGTAAAATACAAAATAATAAATATAAAAACAGTAAAAAAAAATATTTTTAAATCATTTCTTGTTATATATAGCAATAACTTTATTGGAAAAAAATTTAATAATTTTTAAACAAATATTTGTTAATGATTTTTAAAATGCAGGGATAATTCAATCAGAAATTTTAAGTATGTAAAATAAAAAATAATAAATATAAAAAAGGGGAAAAACATTAAAAAAATATTTTTTAAATCAATTGTTAGTATATATAACAAACATTTTATTTTGGAAAAAATTAAATAATTTTTAAACAAATATTTGTTAATGACTAATATATGAAAACATATTTTTAAACAATTTTTACTTCTTACAAAAAAAAAATTATTCATAAAAAATTCAAATCATTTAATTTAAAAAAAAAAAATTAAAATTTTCGCTCTTCCCACCTCTCCCACTTCTCCCGTATTTTTCTCTCTCCATCCCTTTGAATTTTTACCCCAACTAAATAATAAAAAAATTAAAATTTTTACCAAATTTACTTTGCTCAAAGGAGTGAAATTACCCATTTTCATTATCCTCATATAAAACTAAGCCTAGATGAAAATTAAAAAAATAAAAATAATAAATTTAATTTATAAGGATAACTTAAGGACAATCGAAGCCAATGAAAATGGGCTTTGCTGATAGTTAAAGTTTCCTTTTTTGTTAGCTTTCTTGATTGATTATTTTGTTGTTGTTGTCATGTGATATGCTTTTACCTTAAGGATATATCTTGGTTGATCATGATTTCTTGTTTTTTTAACTTATAATTATTTTTAATTTTTTATTTTTTGTAATAATTTTCTAATTGGAAATTATACTAAAAATTATGTATATATGTATATATATATTTTCTTCCTTTGGCTATTGATGATGAAACACTTTTGTTTCTCATTTTTCGGTTTTTAATTTCAAATAAACTTATCCAAATTAGGTCTAGAAAATAATTTACAAATCATCACCCAATCGATGGATTTCATCCAGCATATAATCAACATCGGCCTCGGTGACAGCAGCTGACGATATAATCGAACGGAAGAAATTGGGTCGTCGATCGTCGGGCTGATAGCCAACCATGAGGCTGCCCTTTTGCATCATGCGGCCCTTGATGATGGGACAGATCTGAGACAAAAGAAAACAGACACACAAAATTAAAATAGAAGCATAAGACTCTCCATAAAGGACGCTCCAGTTGGAAGAGGTATTGTCTAAAATCTCTCCTTAAAAAATAAAAATCAGGTACTCACCTTGCCCAGTTCCTTTTCCTTATTGGCATCATGTGGCACTCCCCGCAATCTCTTTGGTATATACCAGAAGGAGACATTGACACACTCTGGTTCCATTATTAAATGGAAACGATCCGACTGCTCTTTAATTCGTCGCACCTGATATTGGGCCAAATCCATAAGGCGATCCTGTTGTCGCTCAAAACCTTCGGTACCCTTGGAACGCCATTGCAGCCACAATTTGAAAATGTCATTGTGACGGCCACACTGAATCACCTTGTCACCAGTATCGTAGCTAATGTCGTACTGCTTATCAGTCATGAAAAGATATTCCGCCGACATTTGATTACAGCTGATCAAGAGACCCTATAAAAATTTAAAAAATTATATATATTTTTCCCCTATGATCAACCCGGAAAACCGTTAATTTTATAATAATATTTTCAAAATAGCATCCTGATCGTAGACTTGGATTTTAAAAAATATTTTTACAAGGATTATTTGAAGCATTATAATTTTTTATACCCCTCACCACACTGTGGTACAGGGTATTATGTCTTTGTGGATCACGTTTATGTGGCCGGAGTTTTATTGGAATTGCTTCAGATTTAGATATACCTCCCATATATAGTTTCATCCGATTTTTGGTGAATGATACACCAAACTCCCAATATTTGTCCGATTGGGACACAATTTTGCACAGAGTACTGATTTAGGCCCAGACCGAAGTTTCGGTTCAGATTTTGATATAGGTCTTATATATATTTTCGTTCGATTTTATGTAAATGGTGGTTACACGAAATTTGGCAAAGGGTATTAGATTGAATATAGTGATTACAAGAAACAAATGGTGTATGCAACGGATACTCAATTTGGTCCATGTGTTTATATATAGCTCCCATACACCAAAGAATCCAAGTATGTCCGTTTGACATGCAATTTTTCATTGATTTCAGAATGGTATGTGTATGGGGTTTTTCAATTGGTTCAAATATTTATCTAGGTAGCACATTTAATTTCGCCCGATTCCATCTCAATGGTCCTCCAAAGATTCTATGACCGTTCTATCTACAGCATATTGTAGATATTAACATGTCTTGCATGTACCCAAAGTGGTGAAGGGTATCATATAGTCGGCCCGTCCGACTTTTGAACTTTTCTTACTTGTTTATTTTTAAAAAAATATTTGTATCAATTTTAAAAAAATATTTACGATTTTGTTAAACCATCATAGCCAATGATTTTAATGAATATTTTTTTAAGTAATTTCGGGCTTTAAACGTGGATTTTTAGAGAGAATTTAGAGAGTAGATTTTTAATTATTATTTTCAAGGTATGGATTTGTAGAGAACATTTTTTAAGGGTGATTTGATAGAGAGATTTTTAAGTATTTTTTTTCCAAGGATCAATGGAATTTAAGCATGGAATTTTTAAAGAAATCTTTTCATAGAACCATCCTGCCAATTAGCGGGATTTTTTTAAAGAAAATTTGTATGGATTTTCAAAGGACTTTCCGAGATATAGGTGTATTTTTTTGGAGATGATTATTTTTATTATTTCAAATTCATTTTGATTTTTATTTCCCAAATTTTAATTTTAAACACCCAACACTGAATAATGATTACAATCTTTTTTCTATTCAATATGTTATTTGAAATTATCCCGAACCATCAGCAGCCACCAACACCACCATTGCCATTATTCCTCATTTTATTGGTGTAACAAATGTTGAACACTTGTTCATCCTGCCATGTCCTTCGAAGGGGGGCTCGGCCGGTCGGTCGTTCGTAAAAAGCAATAAGTCAAGTAAGAAATTTTAATTAAATTCCTTAAAAAGTAATTTTGTTACGCAAAATACCATCAGTGGCAACTGTGACCAATGATGGGAACATATTGTGTCCGTTCGCCCTTCTTTGCCAGAGATGTAACAATGTAAGGGAAAGTTTGTATTGTTGGGATGGTGGTTTAAAAAGGGCATAGAGTGGTTGGAAAAAAAAATTCTTCGTGGTATTTGTTGGGTTAGGAATGAAAAACATGTTTGGAATTTGTTGAATATTTTTGTTTAATAAATGAAAAGTTTTTGTTTTTCTAAAAAATAAATCATCAGGATCATAGATTTGTTTTTTTTTTTTTTTAGAAAAACGACAAATCCTTGGAAAGAATTCTTAGAAAAAACGTCAAAGTAGGAGCTTGGAGATATTAAAATATTCCTTAAAAATCATGCCCTTTTTTATGGCCTTGAAAAAATATTCCTTAAAATGTCCAAGAAAAAATGTTGTGCAATAATCCACTCCTTTAGGCTGCTTGAAAAATTTTTCTTAAGCTATATTCTCTTAAAAACACCTTGTAAGGTTCATGAAAAAATGTTTTTTACAAAATGCAAGCAATGTTATGTCCTTAAAAATATTGTTTCAAAAACGCAATCTTAGGTCGTAGAAAAAATATTCTTTGGAAAATCCACGCAAACTAAGGTCTTAAAAAAAATATTCTTTGGAAAATCCACGCAAACTAAGGTCTTTAAAAAAATATTCTTTGGAAAATCCACGCAAGCTAAGGTCTTTAAAAAAATATTCTTTTAAAATTAACGTCACTGATAGTCCTTTGAAAACCATTATTTAAAAATCCACGCCTCTGATAGTCCTTTGAAAACTATTCTTTACAACATCCACGCCTCTGATAGTCCTTTGAAAAATATTCTTTACAACATCCACGCCTCTGATAGTCCTTTGAAAAATATTCTTTAATAAATCCACGGCTCTGATAGTCCTTTGAAAAATATTTTTTACAACATCCACGCCTCTGATAATCCTTTAAAAATAAGCTTTAAAAAATCCATGCCTCTGATAGCCCTTTGAAAAATATTCTTGAAAAAATCCAGGCATCTGATAGCCCTTTGATAAATATTCTTTAAAAAATCCTTTGAAAATATTCTTTAAAAAGTTCAAGCCTCTGTTGGTCCTTCGAAAAATAGTCTTTAAAAAGTTCAAGCCTCTGTTGATCCTTTGAAAAATATTCTTTAAAAAGTGCAGGCCTCTGATAGTCCTTTAAAAACATATTCATTAAAAAAATTCATTCTTTGGAAAAATATTCATTAAAAAATCCACTCATCTAATACCCCTGGAAATTTTTTTCAAAAAATCCAAGCCTCTAATAGTTTTAAAAAACATTCCTTAGAAAATCCTCGCCTTGGTGGTTCCTAAATAGATAATCCTTAAGTTCAGACAGTCCTTGAAAAACAAAAAGAGTTTTTAAAATGTCAAGTCCAGATAATTCTTGAACAAATATTTCTTTAAAATCCCAGTCTTGAAAGTCCTGGAAAATATTTTATTTAAATCCATGAGAAAGTATTATTTTTAAAATCCAAATTCAAAGTGTCCTTGGAAATTATTTTTTAATCCTCATTTTGATGGTACTCGCTTATCGCTTATTTATTCAAACCCGTCACTACAAAATATTGAATATCAAAATAGTTCTACTTACATCCTCTTTGAAATGTATTGTTGAGCACTGCAATAAAGCTCCCATCAATTTGTGTGGATTCCAGGTAACCGAATCAGCTCTGCAATGAAAAAGCACAAGAGAACAAATAAACCACAAATGAGTTTAGATTTCAATAAGAAAAATTAGATTAACAGAATGAAATTATTTGCAAATAAATCAAATCAAAATACGAGAGAATCAATTTACAATGAACAAATATTGTTATGAACAACAGATAACAACAACTAAGGATATTTGTTTTGCCACAAAAGGAGTATCGAATGAAGCACCGAATGAGAGACACGTAGTGGCATTCGTAATCATATATTTGCTTATTAAATGCCATTCAGTAACAAATTATAAACAATTAACACTAATCCACACAACATTCACAGCACGCTCTGGGGCTGCAGCACACTTCATTCATCCCAACAAGTCCTTCGTTTTATTTGTTTATCGACTCTGGCAAACAGATTTGAACCCGCATTGTTGTAGCATGTTGTAATTGAATTTGTACGAGTTTTTCTCCCCTCCTCCTTGTAATTTTGGGTATTTTTGCAGGAGGGTGTCTTCTGTTTTGTGGCAAGAGAAATAAAAAAGCACAACCATAACTGCTAAACATCCCTTTGGGAGCTACTTATGGTTGACTCAATGTTCGACCTGAATTCGAACAATTACAGCCAGGGGGAAGTTTGTGTGGCTGTTTTTAATAGTCAAATAAATTTATCATTGCTCGTCCTTGTCGTCCTGGCTGGATATCGCAACAGCCGGCATATGCTTTGGCTCGGATAGTTTATGTTTTTTTGGATATCATCGAAGTGAGATGTCACTGATTGCAAAATTACACACTTAAATGATTTTTATTTTTATTTGCATTTGAGGAGGGATAGAGAAGGAGATAGAGAGACATATGGAGGGATGTGTGGTATAAAATGCTGTAGTTGTTGCAGAATTGTGAAATTCATTCAAAGAGTGGATTTCTTAAAGACAATAGTTGAGGAGTATTTTTTCGAAGACAATCAGGCCCGCAAGCGTGGATTTTGGAAGAATGTGTTTATCAGGACTCACAGGACCAAGAATATTTTATCTAGGACTGGCCGGAATAGAAACGTAGATTTTTAAAGAATATTTGTACAAGGACTAGACGAACATTTTTAAAAACAAAAAATGACAAGGTCTAGCAGGAGAAAAAGCATTAAATAATATTTTTTTTCAAGGACTGGCAGGACGAAAAATTTTTTGGTCCTAGAGAAATTAGTCTTTAAAACTATTTTGGGCATTGAAAAATTATTCTTTACAACTCCAAACCTATTTTGGTCCTAGAAAAATTATTCTCTTAAAATGTAGGCATCATTTAGTCTTAGAAAAAATTCTTTAAAAAAATCCGCGTCTATGTTGGTCCTTTTCAAAATATTCCTTAAAAATCCACGTATCTGATAGTCGTTTGAAAAATATTCTTTACAGAATCCATGCCTCTGATAGTCCTTTGAAAAATATTCTTTACAAAATCCACGCCTCTGATAGTCCTTTAAAAAATATTCTTTAAAAAATCCATGCCTCTGATAGTCCTTTGAAAAATATTTTTTTAAAAATCCACGCCTCTGACAGTCCTTTTAAAAATATTCTCTTAAAAGTCCGCGCCTCTGCTAGTCCTATGAAAACTATTCTTTAAAAGATGCACGCTTTTGTTGGTCCTTTTGAAAAATATTGTTTAAAAAATCCGCGCCTCTAGTAGTCCTTTAGAAAATATTCTTTAAAAAGTCCGCGCCTCTGATAGTCCTTCAGAAAATATTCTTTAAAAAATCCACGCTTATTTTAAAAAATACATCCCTCGGAATGGATAAAAACAACAACTACATCCAATCATTTAGCCTGGGAATTTAGCAATTTGTCTTCGGCTGTTTATATTGCGTTTTATTTAAATGGATGGCGGGCGGGTGGATGGTTTGGTTGGTTGTATGAAGTTTGAATACAGCCAACCCAACCCAATTCGGCCCAACTCAGTTTCAAGTTCATTGTGTGCTCATCAGGTGTTTGAATAGCTGCTGGCAGATTAAAGGGATTAAGAGTTGTCAAAGTTATGTTGTTACAAACAAAGTGCATTTCATTTACAGCAGTTAAAAGGCGGACAGACAGAGAGACAGACATACAAATAAATGAAGAAAATGGATTTTCAAATGAACAGCCAGGGGAAAGGGCAAAATGCGACTAACAGACACAGGGTGAAATGCCATCTCATTTTAAAGGTTATGCATTTTTCAAAACAAGGACAACAATTTATTTGAAAGCATTTTAAAACGATTCTTTTAATTTCTTTTAAAATTGTTGTCCTTTAAGGATAACACAAAAACAACAACCTTGAGGATTTGCATTTAAATTTCTCATGTGGAAATGTGTGGAGATTTAAATGCAATAATGGCAACTGTTGGCATTTTTAATCAGATGCACTTGGAGTTACCTTCCTTCCTTCCATGCTTCGTCCTTTTCTACTCATGTTGTCCTGCCGAAACCAACTATTGATACTTTCTGTGGCCAAAAGCGTCCGTTTTTCGGTTTTGTTCGTTTTAATCCTTAAATGGTCGAAGGCATTTCATTAACATAACTATGCCATCCATCAAGGCGTTGATGCTGAAATGCTTTCTCGTTTCCCGTTCCAATTGGGAGTGAGCCATTGAAAGTAACCACTAATCCTAGAAGGATTTTATTTTTGGCCTAAGTGGAATAGAGTGTAGCGATAGAGAGAGATCGAGGCTTAATTCAAATTCCATCATCTCGGCTGATGGGTGTCTAAAGTGGAGTGCTTTGTGGTTACATAAGAAGCGGAGGCACTCCATTGGCATAAAAAGCTCTTTGGTGATGGATATGAAAATCAACAATAGAATGCCTTGTGACAAGAGATTGTTTTTCGGAAAGACGAAAGATTTTGATTAATGAGGCAATATTTAATGTGCCACAGTTTGGAAGGAGCTTTTAATTTAAGTGATTCGTTGTAATTTCGGTTGGAAATTCTTGGCCTAATCAAATTTAAACATTTTCTAATGGCAATTGTTCTTTTTTTTTTGATAATCTCTGTGGCTGTTGTTCTCAGAGTAAAGGTGGAGGGAGGAGGGCGGAATGGGAGAATGCCAGTCTCATTGCTTTCCCTTTATTGTTCGTCAAGTGTGCCGTTGAGAGGTAATTACTTGCAGACATTACATGATTTATGACTGGGCAAATTGTTGGTGACAATTGTCGACCCTGCGGCTGTTTTAATATGTTTGGAATTTTTTTAGTTATGTGAATTCTTCTAAGAGCAGAAAAATAATAAGTTTGAATGACAAGGCAAAAATTCGTTCATACGTTATGGCTTGATATTTTTAAGGACCTTTTTTTTAAACATTTTTTATTAAGACTATAAGAGAAGTGGATTTTTTTAAAGAGTAGCTGTTTTGAGACCAACAGAGGCGTGAATTTTCCGAAGAATATTTTTTCTAGCACCATCCAAGGCGTGGATTTGTTAAAGAATATTTTTTCTAGCACCATCCAAGGCGTGGATTCTTTCAGAGCAGCGGATTTTTATACTCCTCACCACACTGTGGTACAGGGTATTATGTCTTTGGGCATATGTTAGTAACAGGCAAAAGGAAACGAGATAGACACATGGTTCCTTTTGAGAATATGCTGAATCACCTGCAGAGTCGATTTACGGATGTCCGTCCGTCCGTCCGTCTGCCGTCCATGTATTTGTGTAAACAAATTACAAGTCGCATTTATGATCCGATTTGGATGCAATTTGGCATAGGTCACTTATTTGGACCAAGGACGAGCCCTATTGAAATTGGGAAAAATCGGTTCAGATTTAGATATAGCTCCCATATATATTTTCATCCGATTTAAGGTATATGGTGTACCAAAGTCCCTATATATCTTTCGATTTGCACGAAATTTGGCATAGCGTAATGCATTAGGTCTAGAATGATATGTGTTAAGTTTCCTGAAAATCGGTCCAGTTTTAGATATAGCTGACATATATATATATTCGTGCGATTTTATGTGAATGGTGTACCAAAGACCCTATAAATCTTTCGATTTGGATGGATTAGGTCTAGAATGATGTGTGTTAAGTTTCCTGAAAATCGGTTAAGATTTAGATAAAGCTCTCATATATATTTTCTTCTGATTTTATGTAAATTGTGCACTTGTGTGTCTGATTGCCACATAATTTTGTACAATGAACTGTAGTTAATCTCTGGCAAGTCTCATTGAAATCGGTTCAGATGTTGATGGATCCATTTTCATGTTAATGGTCCTTCAAAAATTCGACGTCTATTAGGATTCATATGTTGAAGATGCCAAAGTGGTGAAGAGCACCATATAGTCGGCCCCGTCCGACTTTACTACTTTCCTTACTGGTTTAAAATATATTTTTCTAGGTCTTTCAGAGGCGTGAATTTTTTAAAGAATAATTCCCTAGGTTTTTAGAGGCGTGGATTTTTTAAAGAATTTTTTGTCTAGGTCCAACAGAGGCGTGGATTTTTTAAAGAATTTTTGTCTAGGTCCAACAGAAGCGTGGATTTTTTAAAGAATTTTTGTGTAGGTCCAACAGAGGCGTGGATTTTTTAAAGAATTTTTTGTCTAGGTGCAATAGAGGCGTGGATTTTTTAAAGAATTTTTTGTCTAGGTGCAATAGAGTCGTGGATTTTTTAAAGAATTTTTTGTCTAGGTGCAATAGAGTCGTGGATTTTTTATCTCGTCGCTAAATATCTTCTCTTATGCAACATTTTAACTTTCGGATCAGCGTATATTTCTTTTAAATCGAACTTACCTTTCAACGCCAGTAAATCTGGGATGACGATGTCTTCGTGATAACAAAAGGCCACCACCCCATGCAGCCTGAAATGATAAGAGCAGAACAAAACGAAATATTATATTTCCTCATCATCTCCAGAAACGTCTTCCTCCACGAATACTTACATCAACATGCATCCAACAGTTGTACTTCTGACAGATATCAGCAATTTCATTTAGATTATCGAACGCTCCCAACACCGTGGTACCAGCTGTGGCATTAACAAAGAACGGTATATGACCCTTCGATTTACGTTCCATTATCAAGCGCTCCAGTTCTGATGTGATCATGCGACCACGTTCATCTGATGGCACCATTACACAATTGTCCGTACCCAAACCACAAACGGCGGCACACGATTTCACCGAATAATGACATTGATCGGATGTGAACATGACCAATTGACCGGGTAGACCGGCGGCACCATGTTCCTTGTAGTTGGGGAACATTTTGTGGCGAGCCGCCAAGAAGGCGTACAAATTCGAAATGGAGCCGCCAGGGGCCAAAATCGAATCGCCACCATGCCAGCCAATGATTTCACGCATTTTCGAGAGAACCACATTTTCCATGAGAATGAAAACCGGGGCAATTTCATAGGTGAACATGTTGGTGTTGGCAGTGGCTGTCAACCATTCGCCGGCCATGGAGATGATGTCCAGACCGCATGATAGCTGATTGAAGAAGTGGGGATGACCTGTAATGAGAAGAGAAAAAAATTGTATTAATGAAATTCATCAGACTCCATTCTTTAAAAATATTTTTAAGGAAATTAATATAAAGAAAGTTTATTATTAAAATTAAACTGATTGGCCAAAATTATGATTTATTTTCAATTAATGGAATACATATATTTTTAGCTACAAAATTCTAAGATTTTTTATATCCTGACTATCTAAGAGTATGTAATAAAATATCCTTAAATCCCCACATAATTATTTTCCTTTAGACTGGATTGCCATTATCCAACAACCATCTATCTTTAACGAATTATTGACACGACACATCTCCGCTCTTCTTCACCATCCCGAAACCATTAAAAATCGCCAACATCACTATCAGACGAATGTCTATAAAAATGCCATTTGGAATGCCTTAAGCTTCCATAATCCGGCCTATAAATAAGTACAAGGAGTATGGAAAAAATTGGCAACATAATATTCGTCTCAAATTCCCTTATTTGTGTCCCGTACCCCAACCCACCTCTTTGCTAAACACGAAGTGTGCTACAACAGACTCGCATCCTTAAGTCCTTGTGTATCGATACACTGAAGCATACTTCAGCAGTAGTACTTTAATGATACCAAACATTGACAGTCATATACCCCCAACATCATTTTCAGCTCTCTAGGTTGGCAGGGTGAGGAGTGGGAGGAACTTTAACAATAGCAAAAGAATGTCAAAGTTTGCTGTTGTTGTTCTCTTTTGTGTAGAGGGGAGTTGAGTTTTAATCAAAATCCGTTGTTATTTTCTGTATCGTTGCACACTGATCCTTTGATGCGAAATGGATGGCAAAACAATGTGTTCTTCTGCATCATCCTCTGCTCTATACTTGGGTCTCGTGTCTGAGGGTTGACTGCTTGCTGGCAATGACTGTGGTGACGTTGATGATGATGATGGTGATGGCTATGATGCGGCATTGCGTAGCGTGTGCAGGATTTTTGCCCATCTGTGTCAAGCTACCACCATCATCGTCACATGTATGTCTGTCTGTATGTCTCGTGCCTAAATTGAAATGTTTAGTCCTGGTCGTAAGTCAAAACGAAATCCTTTATGTCCTTATAAAGGAAGACAAATGAAAATAAATTTCCTTTACCTTAAACAAATGTTTGAAAATATTTTGTTCGAAATTGAAATAATACGAGGGTGGGATGAAGGATGTAGATCCTTAAAATTTATTTTTGTCTTGGATGTTTAAAAAAATATTTCATATTTTTTTAATATTTCAAGGACTTTACGAAGAGTTGATTTTTATAAAAAATATTTCTCAAGGACCTCACAAGGCGTGTTTTTTTAAAGAATATTTTTTCAAGAAGCTTAAAAGGCGTAGACCCAATAATATTTTTTTCAAGGACCTTAAAAGGCTTAGGCCCTTAAAGGAATATTTTTTCGAGGACCTTACAAGGCGTGGATATTTTTAAGGAATAATTTTATAAGGACTCATAAGGCGTGGAAGTTTAAAAGAATATTATTAAGGACTTTACAAGGCGTGGATTTTTGAAAGAATATTATTTCAAGAACCTCAAAAGGCGTGGATCTTTCAAAGAATATTTTTTCAAGGACCTCACAAAGCGTGGATTTTTTAAAGAATATTTTTTCAAGGACCTCACAAAGCGTGGATTTTTTGAAGAATATTTTTTCAAGGACCTTAAAGGCGTGGATTTTTTAAAGAATATTTTCTCAAGGACCTCACAAAGAGTGGATTTTTTAAAGAATATTTTTTCAAGGACCTCACAAAGAGTGGATTTTTTAAATAATATTTTTTTCAAGGACCTCATAAGGCGTAGGTTATTACAAAGTATTTTTCAGAGACCTTACCAGACGTGGATTTTTACAACGTATACTTTTTCGAGGCCCTCACAAGGCTTGAAATTTTTGGAAGAATATTTTTTCAAGGACCTTAAAAGGCTTGCAATTTTGGAAGAATATTTTTTCAAGAATCTGCAATTTTTGGAAGAAAAATTTTCAAGGACCTCACAAATCGATAATTCTTTAGAGAATATTTTGTTCAAGGATCCCTAAAAGAATATTTGTTCAAAGGCCTCACAAATCAAGGATTTTATATTTAGTAGGTTTTTTTAAAGTCCCCACAAGGCGTGAATTTTTAATTGCGTGAATTGGAGGGCCTTACAAGGCCTCGATTTTTAAAGAATTACTTTTCGAGGACCTCACAGCGACCAGAACACCAAAATGCGTGGATTTTTTAAAAATATTTTTTAAGGACATCGAAAAGCGTGGCTTTTTCAAACGTTTTTTCCCAGGACTTCAAAAGAAGTGGATATTGAAGGCCTGGATTTTTTTAAATTTTTTTTAGAAAGTTTCCAGTACGTGGATTTTTTGTATATTTTTTAGAAATGTATAGTTTAGGGATGTTAATCCATTCCAGGCCTAAAAATACCACCCTCGTTTTCACATAAATGGATTCATAATTTTGTATATGAAAGAAAGTTTCCGCAATTGGTAGCACATGTGAATTGAGATTTTTTCAATATTTTCCCCTTTTACGAAGAACAATAACTTTCGCTTATGGCTTAAAGCAGCGAAGTTGTTGTTGCTGTTTTTTTTGGCTGTTGTAATAACACAACTTATGGCACTTCCAACATAAACTGACAGTCGAAGATTTTCATTACTGGGATTATAATAACAGCAAGGGTTCCCATTGTGTTCCTGCCCCCCGTTTGGTCTGAAGGTCATATTGACTTCGGTATTATTCGTTGGTGTTGAAAGGGGGAAAATACTCCCCAGAGAGATGACGATGAGGTATTCAGTTAATAGCAGAATGATTTGTGTAAAGTAATTTCCAATTAGCTCTCAATAAATGAACAATTGTTAAGAAGGACAAAACGTGGAATTCTGGAGAGGTGATTCTTTGTGATTTTTGTTTCATTGGTATTGATATATAGAAACGTAATCAAAGGTCAAAATTAATATTTTTGTTGTTTTTGTTATTGTATGACTTGTACGAATAATCACGTATTTTACCTCCTTCTCGAATGAGTCTGTGGGTGAACGGAAACACCACATGGCCAAACATTGCTTTAACTTCCGTATAACCTTATTTTACTTTGGTTGGCTGGGGGGGTTATTTTCTGCTTGACTTCCTATTTTAATATTTCGAAATGTGGATCACCCAAAAAAAGGACCTTCCTGCATACCATAAACAATTATTAAAGCTTTTTTGCAGCGTCCTTTGTTTCGATGTATTTCTTTTTGTGTTTCTTTCATTGCTACTGCCAAACACATCTGTTGTTGTCTGACAGCCGACGAGACAGACTGTCAGACATTCGACATACTTTGGAGGACACTTGTTTATGCATGTTTACTGAACGTTTCCTTCCTATTTCTTTTGGTCGGTCCGCTGCATGATAGACAAGCGCAGATAATCGCTCATCTTGACAGAGACCTTTCACAAGGATTTCACAACATTGAAAATAAGGAATTCGATCCAAAGGACATCTGCCAGAGACATAATTTTTTTTGAGGAGGCTTAATAACGATGTAGGACTTTTTTTGCTTTCGAGGCCCAATAGTCATACGAGTTCTTTCAAGGTGTGGATTATTAAAGGAATATTTTTTAAGGACCTTACAAGGCGTGAATTATTAAAAGAATAATTTTTCAAGGTCGTTAAAAGGCGTGGAGTATTAAAAGAATATTTTTTCAAGGACCTTACAAGGCGTGGTTTATTAAAAGAATATTTCTTCAAGGACCTTACAAGGCGTGGTTTATTAAAAGAATATTTCTTCAAGGACCTTACAAGGCGTGGTTTATTAAAAGAATATTTCTTCAAGGACCTTACAAGGCGTGGTTTATTAAAAGAATATTTCGTATTAAAAGAATAAAAGGACCTTACAAGATCCTTCAAACCTTACAAGGCGTGGATTGTTAAAAGAATATTTTTTCAAGAACCTTACAAGGCGTGGATCATAAAATGGTTATAAAAGAATATGTTTTCAAGGACCTTACAAGGCGTGGATCATAAAATGGTTATAAAAGAATATGTTTTCAAGGACCTTATAAGGCGTGGTTTATTAAAAGAATATTTCTTCAAGGACCTTATTAAAAGAATATTTCTTCAAGGACCTTACAAGGCGTGGTTTATTAAAAGAATATTTCTTCAAGGACCTTACAAGGCGTGGTTTATTAAAAGAATATTTCTTCAAGGACCTTACAAGGCGTGGATTGTTAAAATAATATTTTTTCAAGGACCTTACAAGGCGTGGATTGTTAAAAGAATATTTTTTCAAGGACCTTACAAGGCGTGGATTGTTAAAAGAATATTTTTTCAAAGGCTACACAAGGCGTGGATTGTTAAAAGAATATTTTTTCAAGGAAGAATATTTTTTCTAACAAAATATATAAATTGAATAAAATTCACACGATATTCTCCCTTGTTCATTTGATTTAATTAAAATCCTCCAAGACTTATTTTTTTAAAAACATCAAGAGATGACATCTAAAGCAGCGGGTTCCAAATCAAAACAGTGTTTTAAATAAGTGTTATCTTGTTTGAACAGGCCTCAAAGTTAATCCCAAACAAAAATTCAATGAAATGAAATTAGCCAAGCACACGCCATTCGCCACTACAAATAACCACAAATCTGCCTTCCGCTCTGCTTGAGAAGCGCTTTTTGGCATAAATTTGAATAAAATTATTATTTTCCAAACAAAGCAGCGAGTCAGCCAGCCAGTAAAATTCAATGTCACCAGAGCATATGCCAAACAGAATAAGGACATATAACTGCTGTTATCAGGATAAGGATGAGTAAAATTGTAAATTTGGCACAAGAGACGTGTTCAGAGGTAATAGACACGAATTAGGGTTGTCAACAACACGCCACACGTCACCAACAACCAGATATCTACCTTTGTGTGTGTGGTGTATGAGAAACTAAAGCATACCAAAGGATAATGTTTGCCTGATGGCTGACTGCCGAACAGTAGCAGTAGTGGCAGCAGCTAAGACCATTTTATGGTCCATTGAATATTGATGGCAAGCAAAAGATTATTTACACCTATCAACCGCAGGCGACGTAATTCATTTATACTCCTTTTTTATTCTAAAGGACACACACGCATAAGTTCTAGTTCTTGTGTGTGTGTGTGGGGGGATAATCGAACAATGCCTCAGTTTTATGAAAGGGGTAGTTTGTTGAGAGAGATTTTGATTGTTTACACTTCCTTCAGAAAAAAAGTCAACAGAAACAGCCATTAAAAAGCTAAAACCAACAAACATCAATCATAAATCGTGGCCAAAAAATTTGAAAGAAATTGATTTTTAAATCTGATTTTTATGACACTGTGGTTATATTACGAGTATACAAATAAAATCAATTTTATAAAAAGAAACACACATTTCAGATAATTCTAAAAAAGGATAAAGGAATTGCTTAAAAATCAAAAGAGAAAAAACATTAAATTTTTTTCCGACAACGATGATTTGTTTGAATAATTTTTTCTAGGACTTGGATTTTAAAAGAATATTTTTCCAATAAGAGTCTATTTTTAAGACTATTTTTTTCCAAAGACCAACAGAAATGTGGAATTTCGATAGATTATTTTATTATTTTTTTAATGAATATTTTGTCAAAGACCACCCAAGGACCAACCAAGGCATGGATCTTTAATGAATATTTTTTTGACCCACCCAAACGTGGATTTTTTCAAAGACCTTACAAGGTATTGAAGCATGGATTTTTTAAAGAATATTTTTTTTCTGAAACCGTCCAAGGTGTGTTTTTTAAAAGAATATCTTTTAAAGGACCTTACAAGGCGTGGATTATTAGAAGAATATTTTTTCAAGGACATTACAAGGCGTAGATTTTTTAAGGAATATTTATTCAAGGACCTCACAAGGCATAAATTTTTAAGGAACATTATTTCAAGGACCTCACAAGACGTGGATTTTTTAAGGAATTTTTTTCAAGGACCTTACAAGGCGTGAATTTTTTAAGGAATATTTTTTCAATGACCTTACAAGACGTAGATTTTTCCAGGGACCTTACAAGGCGTAGAGTTTTTAAGGAACCTTTTTCAAAGACCTCACAAGACGTGAATTTTTTAAAAAAATATTTTTCCAAGGACCTTACAATGCGTGGATTTCTTGAAGAATTTTTTTTCAAGGACCTTTCAAGGCGTAGATTTTTTTAAGAATATTTTTTTCAAGGACCTCTCAAGACGTAGATTTGTTTAAGAATATTTTTTAGGACCATCCAATGCATGGACTTAAAAAAGTAAAGGACCTCACAAGGCGTAGATTTTTAAGGAACCTTTTTTCAAGGACCTCACAAGACGTGGATTTTTTAAGGAATTTTTTTTCAAGGACCTTACAAGGCGTGGATTTTTTAAGGAATATTTTTTCAAGGACCTTACAAGACGTAGATTTTTCCAGGGACCTTACAAGGCGTAGAGTTTTTAAGGAACCTTTTTCAAAGACCTCACAAGACGTGAATTTTTTAAGGAATATTTTTCCAAGGACCTTACAATGCGTGGATTTCTTGAAGAATATTTTTTCAAGGACCTTTCAAGGCGTAGATTTTTTTAAGAATATTTTTTTCAAGGACCTCTCAAGACGTAGATTTTTTTAAGAATATTTTTTAGGACCATCCAATGCATGGACTTAAAAAAGTAATTTATTCAAGGACCTCACAAGGCGTAGATTTTTAAGGAACCTTTTTTCAAGGACCTCACAAGACGTGGATTTTTTAAGGAATTTTTTTAAGGACCTTACAAGGCGTGGCTTTTTTAAGGAATATTTTTTCAAGGACCTTACAAGACGTAGATTTTTCCAGGGACCTTACAAGGCGTGGATTTTTTAAGGAATATTTTTTCAAGGACCTTACAAGACTTAGATTTTTCCAGGGACCTTACAAGGCGTAGAGTTTTTAAGGAACCTTTTTCAAGGACCTCACAAGACGTGAATTTTTTAAGGAATATTTTTCCAAGGACCTCACATGACGTGAATTTTTTAAGGAATATTTTTCCAAGGACCTTTCAAGGCGTAGATTTTTTTAAGAATATTTTTTCAAGGACCTCTCAAGACGTAGATTTTTTTAAGAATATTTTTTAGGACCATCCAATGCATGGATTTAAAAAAGTAATTTTTCAATCCCCTATCAAGGTGTGGATTAAAAAAAATAATTTTTCGAACACCTTTCAAGGCGTGGATTTAAAAAATAATAATTTTTCAAGGACCTTGGATTTTGTTAAGAATATTTTTTCAAGGCGTGGATTTAAAAAATAATAATTTTTCAAGGACCTTACCAGACCTGGATTTAATGATAATTTTTCAAGGACCTTACGATGAACATTTTTTAAGCACCTTTCAAGGCGTGTTTTGAAAAAAACATTTTTTTAAAGTTAAATGCTGGTGAATTTGATTTTTAAATAAATTCCTTATTATGTTAAGCAGATCCTTCTGAGAAAAACTGCTGCAAAAAATTTACGCAACTACTGTACCTTTATCTATTTCCGTTCTCTGACAAGTCATTTTGGTTTCTATTGAAAATTAAGCTTTTTCTTTAAAAAGAAGACAACACGCCTTGTACTCCGCCCCAACGCTTGTAACATTGTCTGGCATAATCGCATCAGGCACGTGACCACAATTGTTCTCGTTGGAGTGTCGATAATCAGCATGTTTATACAAGAAGTGTGGCCGACGGCAAAAGCCAAAAAACGGAAATATCCGCTTTGTAAAAGGGAAACATAAGTTATGGGCGAAAATAGAAATGTGTTGTCGAGGAGGGTGGTTGATTTTGGTAGTTTAAAAAAATTTTCAATGCCACCAGAGCTGCCATGTCCCCTTCCGGTCGTAATGCCACACCAGAGATAACGGTGTTGTATATTCGAGATAATTGTTTTTAATGAATTCGAACAAAAGTTTCGAAAAATCTCATCAAATTCTGGCACTCAGGCAGAAAAATATTTTGTAAATAGCAGATTTTAGATAAAAGTTTTGATAGTTAATTGAAAAAAAATTAGACTTACCCGTCTTCACTTGATACTTGAGAGTGGTGGCACAGTCTTCAATCAATTGCTGCAGATTGACAGCGCGATCTGGCACCTCCAAATCCAGCAGGCGTTTCATATCCTCCGGATGATGGAAATCCAAGACTTTTTCGTTGCGATCATTTGTGGCCTTGACGAAATCCAACAGCACATCAATGACTTTCAGGAGGAATTCTCGGGTTTCGGGTAGGGCTGTTTGGGTGGTGGGCAAAAGCTCTGCAAAAAAAACGAAGGAGAAGAAAATTTATCAAGATTAGAATATAAGAAATATTGATTTTTGCAATAATAAAAAGAAGAAACACAAACAATGGAATATGATATTGACAGCAGGTCCTTATCTTTGTGGCTTGTGGAGGATATGTTGCTGGTTTTCCGTTGTGCGGAAATACTGCATTTTTTATCTTTTTTGTTGTTAACTTTGAATAATGGTCGCAAGCCTTGGCTGGTAATATCCTCTCTCTCTTCCATGACACTGAGATTGATAAAAAGGTCAAAATATATTTTCACCCAATATTAAATTACACTTCAGGGGGAAATTGTTTTTTTTTGTGGTTGGCCATAAATGGCCCACTCCTCCCCCCAAAGCTTATTATTGCACACATACACACTTTTTTGAAGCAGATGCTGCTCCTGTGTTGAATGGCACATTCCAGATTCCTGTGCCTGAGTTATGTCGGCTTTATGTCAATTTTGAAACACTCTCGCCAGTCACTCTCTTTCCCTTCTCTCTTCAGACACTTTGCTGGGTGTGTGAACATCCCTTTTGTGTGCGGATGTCCTCCTCCTCCAACCCGCGTTAAAATGTTGTTACATTTCATTTATTTTGTCAAGATTTGCCTTGTAAGGACTTAAATAATTACTAATTGATGTTGTTCTGTAGCATTTGATTGTGTGTGTGTTCAGACGCGCCAGGCTACTTATTTTCCTCAAGGATTAAATTGTCAGAATAATGGATTTTTTAAGTAACATTTTAGTTAAGAAGAGGCAGTTATTTGTTAAGCGGAATTCAGAGGGGTTTGTTGTATAAATGTCCCATGTGTACTATATAAAGGAAGGCTTTTGGTCTTCTATGAGAAGAAAATTTTAAATAAATATTTCTGAATGTTCTTCCAAAGTGTATTTTTTTAATTTTTTCAATAATTGATTTTTTATAAGATTTTAATTTTTGGTCCCAACGTCGGGAAATTTAGTCTTTATGAAGAAACATCCGAGGTTGATTGACTTTCCGGCAGCAAAAACATGGTAATTAGCAGCACCAGATTCATGCATCTCGATATACACAGGACCACCTGGATCTCTCCTGATCAAGCAACGGAAGACATTCATCCAGTGTATTAGACGTTCGATCGATCCGAAGAGCGAATATCGATTCGGACCACTACCTTGTAGCAGCCAAGGTTCCCATTCGTCTTAATGTTGCAGCAAGGGCAAGAAACTCGACGTCGAAAAGCTGCAGACACAACAGATAGCCGAGGCCTACTCCGCTCAACTTACCCACCTGCTTGACGAAAGCACTTCTTGTCCCGATAATAGTATAGAAGCACAATGGCAAATAATTGCCCACTCCCTACAAACTGCAGCAAAAGCAACACTTGGGTACCAAAAACCACCACTAAGGAACCCATGGTACGATCAGGAGTGTCGTAATGCTACTGATGTGAAACACGCAGCGTATAGGGCAACACTGCAGACAGTAGCAACACGTAATGTGATGGAGAATTGTCGGGAGAAAAGGAGAGGGGAGAAACGTGTTTTGAGAAAAAAGAAGAGAGAACAAGAAAAACGTGAACGTGAGCAAATCGAAAGGTAGTAGTCAGAATGAAGTCCGAGTAAAACATCAATCCGAGGATGTTGGTGCAGGCACATCCTCCTGTAGAGATGAAGAAGGAAACCTGGTGACAGATACAGACAGCGTGTTGAGGATCTGGAAGGCTTCAGACCTGGCAAATCCACCATTGACCAGATTTTCACTCTGCGCCAAATCCTGGAAATGACCCACGAAAAACACATCGACACATTCCATCTATTTGTCGACTATAAAGCCGTGGTGTTTAAAGCCATGTCTACGTTCGGCATTCCAGCAAAATTAATACGGCTATGCAGGATAACTTTAAATGGCACAAGGTCAGCAGTTAAAGTCGCAAACGTCCTATCGGAGCCCTTCAATACCGAACGGGGATTCAGACAATGTGACAGTTTGTCGTGTGATCGTTTTAACATCCTGCTGGAAAAGGTCATACGAGATGCAAAGGTGAACAGAAATGGCACTTCGTAGATAAAACAACACATGGTACTCGAATACGCCGATGACATCGATATAATGGGTCGAACATTGCGAGCGGTAACAGCCACCTTTGAAGAAATTGAGAAGGAGTCTGCCAAAGTGGGTCTGGCAGACTCGGACCATCTGTGGAACTTGAGAACTACAGCTTCGAGGTTGTTAAAGATTTTATATACCTTGGTACCGCCATAAATAAAACGAATAACATCAGTTTTGCAATTCGGAGAAGGATTGTGATGGCCAACAGATGCTACTATGGTCTATGTAACCAGTTTAGAAACAAGACCACCTCCCGCCAGACCAAACTCACACATTACAAGACGCTGATACTACCCGTGCTGTGATATATATCTGAAGCATGGGTACTTGCGCAAGCAGATGAGACAGCTCTTGGGGCGTTTGAAAGAAAAATTCTCCGAAAATCTACGGCCCGATCTGCGACGACGGTGAATATCGGCACCGAATGAACCACGAGCTTTACCATATGTATACCATTTATGAATGAGGTTGCGACAACTCAAAAGACATTTAAAAGTGAGCCTAGTGATCGTTCCCGTAGAAGGGGAAGACCACGAATTAGATGTAAAGACCAAGTAGAAAACAACATCTTGGAACGTGGTCTTTGAAATTGGAGGAGATGCGCTCAATACCGACGCGCTTGGAAATCTTTTTTAAGCTCGGCTTATGGAACAACCGTTCTTTAAAAATATTTTTCGGGGACTATCAACAGGCGTGGATTTATTAAAAAGCCATGTTCTGGATGGATGAACTATTTTTTTAGAAAAATTTTTAACCCCACAACAGTGAATTTTTTGCAAAATTTTTTTTTTTTGAAGATTTACAACGTTTTAATTTGGTTTAAATGCCTCGATTAAGGCTACGGTACAGGTTGCTTAATGTTCCATTAAATTTCTTTCTTTAAAATTAATTTCAAAATAGTCGAACAATTTTCAGCACATTACTGAGCAATTTAATTTAAATTTCACACATTTTACAAAAATAAATATTTCCATTTCTCGGCAGACTTATTCAAATTCCTAAAATGGAGCATACCATCATACACGAAGTTGGAACGCGTAACAAATTTGTTGTCTAATAGAAAAATTCTTTAAAAAATTCCAGACAAAATAAATTGTTGGCCAATGACGGCAGTTCGGATTCTTTCGTTAGGTATACTCGAAGGAAAGCTAAGCACAAAATAAAACCTATCATCCCCCATAAGCTTTTACAAGTCAGGGACTAGCGAACGAACGAGTGTAGCGAAAGAGCGAAACTGTGTGTAGAGGTAATATCCTGTGACTAAACGGTTTATGTTTGTTTTATTTCAATTTAGGTCTTGAACATATTTGCTATGCCTGCAACGGCTGCTGTGAGGAAAGGTGGCTGGATGGATGGCTGACTGCCTGCCTGACGGGGTGGTGGTGGTAGTTTTTGTGGTACCCACACATTTGACTTTTCGTCCTTCGCTCCGCTCACATAAAAAATCTGTAACGTGGCGTGTGTGTTTCTGACTGTCATCTCCAGCCAAATTCGCCTCAACCATCAGTTCAATTTCATTGTACGTGAAGTGATTTATCACAAAACGAGGCAACGAGTGTCCTAGACATAAGGACACTTGAGTTATGAGTTAGAATGTTGCAACTTTTGTTTTTTCTGCTGTTACGTTAAGTTGGACAAACATTTTTATGCTCTGAACAATTGTTACCACCATTGACGATTGTATTCGAATTTCTTGTAAGGATATTTTAGGATTTTATTTTGTTCTATTTTGTTTTCTTTTTGGCTTCGTTTTCACTTTTTTTGCAATCATTTTGTTTTGTTCTGTTTTCTTAGTGGGCAGCTATTTGTAAGGACATTTAAGTATTTGTGCTTTTGACATGTGTAACATATGTTTGTAGTTTATGTGTGCGTGTGTTTGTGCATGTTTGGACAATTGTAACACAAGGCAAGAATGTTAAGTATTTATGTCCATTTATTTGCTCATTTAACACGCTGATGTCCTTCAGAGTTGGTTTATGTGTAAATATTTAGATATTTTTTTAAAGGAAATTATAGTTTTTTTTTGTCAAATCGATTTATTTTTTATCTATCCCAGGACATAATCCTACCCCGGCCCTTTTGAAGGACATATTTTTAAACGGGCTCAAGCATGGAGTTTTAAAAATACCAACATTGGCTGGATTTAAACAACTTTTGTTTTTGCTTGGTTTTTTTTAATTGGTTCAAAGTTTCCGTAAATTGTGATTTTTTAAATTTTTATAGAAGAACATTCAATGTGAAATGGATTAAAAAAATTGAAATGGAGTATTGTTTTTAATAACTTTTTTGAAGTTCATGGAGATAATTTTTTTTTTTTGGAAGATCCACAAAGTACACAACTGCCACGGAACTCTAACTTTCTGCGGATGTTTATTCCGAGCGTGGCAATATTTCGTGATATTTGCACCCTCTTGCCCGATTACAGGTCAACAGCACATCTTCCTTACATTGACATATTTTCCGAATATCATTAATATTCCATACAGCTTTTCTATTTACTTGACCAGATTCCCTTCACCGTGGGATGTGCTGTGATGTTCGGCTTATAATTGTGGCCTATCGACTCGACAAAACACAAAAAATTAAGTTTTCGGTCCATTTCATCCAAAAACAATTACCTGATCTTCTCCGAAAATCATAGACTTTGTCCTTGACCCTAACTGCAACTTCATGAAAGATTTCAAAGCGATTAGCGCTATGTTTCCGCCCTCTAATGTGGTAATGGGTTGCTAAATAAAATCTGAATACATAAGCACCTGTAAATGTAACTCCCACATCCGAGTACATACGACAATATAATTGGTATCAAATTAAAGGACAAACACTCTTCTTGGATAAACTATAGGTCCTTCTTTGATCCGAGTTCTTCAGTGGTAAATATATACGCCATAGAATACAATTTTTTTCATTTTTCACACAAAAGTCAGGGTCCATTTGACCTGCCAAATATTGACCGATCTTTATCAAAGCAGGCATGTTTATTATTTGGCCTGATTCCCTTCTCCATTTCGTTCGGGCCATAATTGCGGCCTCTGGAGCTACCAGAAAATCCGGAAAAATTAAGTATTTGGTCCATTTCATACCCTAAATATTAACCGATCATTACCAAAAACAAAAGAGGTCTTCATTGGCCAGAACCCATCCTACATGCAAAATTTTGTGAAGATTGGTCAATAACGGTGGTCTGTATAGTGTTTACAAATTATAATGGTTAGACGGACGGATACATGTCTAGATCGACTTAGTTAGTCGAAATATACTTAAAGGTGGGTCTAGGACCAATATTTCGCGGCGTTATAAACTCTTGGGGCTGCACAAAGCTACAAATATTTTTTTTACAAAAGCGAAGATTTTTTAAAGACTATTTTCAAGATTTTATTAATTTCTTTTTCGAGATGAGCTACATGATCAAAGTTGCAATGAAAAAGGAAAGCCGGAGAGATGCTACATTCCCACCATTATGCGACGCGTTTCAGAGCAGTTTTTTTCTTGTAGGGACGGACTTTTTTTCTATACAGACTATAATATTTTTCTTTCAACTGCATATTGAGCAACCTTAGGAAAATATGGAGGTGGCTTTGAACGCTAAGGCGTCGGACAACAATCAACAGATGCCATGGGAACCAGCCGGGCTCAAGCTGAATTTTTGAGTTTTTATTTGTTGATTGTTTTCTTGTTCATCCATCAAGGTTTCGATTTTTAAAAATCATTTGTTGGATGTTCTTTTAAAAAGTAAATTTTTAATATTTATTTAAAATCCTAACTTAACAGAGAATTTAAAAAATATATTTTTAAATTTTATTAATGCAAGGTTTTAATTTTTATATGGAGGGTATATTAATTTTGTCATTCCGTTTGTAACTCATCGAAATATTCATTTCCGACACTATAAAGTATATATATTCTAGATCAGGGTAAAATTCTAAGACGATCTAGCCATGTACGTCTGTCTGTCCGTCTGTTGTAATCACGCTATCTTCTGAAGGAATTGAGATAGGGTGCTGAAATTTTACATAGGTTTGTCTTTTGTCTGCAGGCAGGTCAAGTTCGAAAATGGGATATATTGGTCCACGTTTAGGCATAGCTCCCATATAACAGTACCTCCCAATTTTCGGTATTTTGCGTTTTTCAACCGAATACGCTGAAATTTGGTACATCGAGTTATATATAGGTCCACTTTTACTGGTAGCCCCCATATAACGGTACCTCCTAATTTTCAGTATTTTGGGGGTTTTGATCTTATTTTTCATCCGAATTGGCTGTAATTTAATATTTTGATTTCTTAATAGGTACCAATCTCTCCACAAAAAATTATGAATATAAGTCAATTTTTTGGCATAGCCCCCATATAAGAGTACCCCCAATTTTCGGTATTTTGGGGTTCTTGAGCGCGTTTTTCAACCGAATTCGCTGCAATTTGGTATTTTGTAGTCGTATATGGCAACAAACCTCTCTACCAAAAATTGTTAATATTCGTCCCCTTTTTGGGGTCGTCCCCATATAACCCCCTTTTCATATTAAAATAGTTATATGATTTGTTCCGTGTTCGGGGTTGGTTCTAAGGCTCTGTTGCAATCATTTCATCTGCGGAAGATACGAAAAAAAAAAACTAGAACATAAGGTTCGATAATTAACCTTATCTATTTATATATATGAACTGTAACCCGCATTTAGGCCTAGCCCCTGTGTGGGAAGTACCAGAAGGTGTGGACCGATATTCCCCATGTTCGAACATGAACTAATTTTGGAAGTAATGGGCAAAATTTGGATGAAATCAAAATTTTTTGAAACAAATTTGGTCCAAAGAAACATGGGGTCTAGGACTAATATTTAGAACCATAATCGGTTTATAGAAATTTCGGTATAGGTACACTTTTTGGTATGTTCCCTATGTTTTTATTTCAAGTACCTGTCAGTATATCTATGGTGGAGGGTATCCAACGTTCGACCCTGCCGAACCTAACGCTTTTTCATTTGTTTTATTTATTAAAGGTTCCATCATAGAGTGAATTAAAAAAAAATTGGCAAGAAAATCCAACCGAGAATGGTAAATTTTGTGTAATTTTTTTTTTTTTTTTTTGATTAAAAAAACTATTTTTTAAGAATTCAAAATGTAAAGTGAAAATAAATAAAAATATTATTAATTTAGTTTTTCTCCTCTGATTCAGAACCCAATAATCGATGTAATTATAAAATTTACTTTTCATATTCGAAATAGTTTCTTGACTTACCAAAAGCTGTTAATTTGCCCGTCTTTTCGGAAAGTTTATACCCATTTGGATTGAGCGACATTTTCTCCTCTGTAAAGAAAAAAATAAAAGAAATAATTAAAACAAACTATTTAAAAAAATTAATTTTTTCCAAAGTACATGCACTAAAATTATCCTTGATTATATAACAATTACAATGGGTTTTGTAAAATAAAATCGATATAATGAGAAATGGTAGGATGTGATACTTATGGGGAAAAATGACAATGACAAAATGTTGTACTCTTGTCTTTCTCTCTCTCTCTGTGTGGATTGGAATTGAATTGCCGAGTAGGAGGTCCAAAAAAAGGAATAAGGTCTTTTATGTACAAGGACTTGTGAAGGTTAAATGTGAATGCTATATGTATATAAAAGAGGAGGGGGAAGAGGGGGTGGATGGATGGGAAATATGGCAGACATAATAAAATACATGTGCGTAAAAATGTGCGTAGTGTGAGTCGGGCTGTGTTATGTAAACTTGTAATTATTTTAAATAGGGAGAGTGGTGGGGGATAGAGGGGTATCCATGTATTTGTTGTTGTAAAATTTGCTTTGTGTTGTTGTTGTGGTATTTTATTTGTTTTGTTGTTGGTGTCGAAAAAGCCAGTGTAGAGAAATTTGCAATTATCTTACCAATTATTTTGCGGAGATCTTCGATGTATTGCCTTAAGAAAATCACTTTGACTGATTTGCTAACAACAACGGTGGCGAATAGAATAGAATTGAATATGCGAAAGGTGGTCGATCTGAATAATGAACAAACGAACGAACGTAGGAAACGAAACGATTAAATACAAACGAACGAGGGAACGATTGAGTTTGATTAATTTTTTTTCAATAGAAATAAAAAAGTGAAAAGAAAAAAATGATGATTCAACGCAAAAAATCGAGTGAGTAGTTGGTTTATTTATTGAATAGGTTAATAGTTTAAAAATAAATTATAATGAAATAAAATATTTTTTCAAATAAAAATTATTTGAATAATAAAAACAAAAAAATAAAAAAAAAATAAAAATTATTTTATTTATTAATAAATGTTATTAACATTTAATTAAGCACTACTATTTTTATTAAATTTTCTAACAAAAAGCCATCTAAAGTTAGTCAAGATTTGTTTCTCTAACATATAAATTTAATAAAATTTTATAACATTTCTCTCTCACTTTTATTTTTAAATGAAAGGTTTTGGATTTTTTTTTATTTAAAGACTTAAAGCACTTTTCTTTTTTTTTCAGAAGATGACCAAAATTCACAAATTTATTTCAATCACAAATTGAATTTTTTTATTTTTATAAAAAAACAAAATATTTTTTTTATTCACTGTTGGAACTCCAGCCGAATTTCGGGACGGACACAAAAAGGAAAGAGCAGCTTTACTGTTCGACGTTCTGAGGAGCTGTGTGCTATATGCTATGTTCAGGTCTCCTACGAAGCCATTATTTCAAAATGGCTTTGTAGCCAGTCCTCCCTGGCCCCACCAAAATGCCCCCCACAAATTTCTTTATGAACTGCGCATATCCTACATTTACTTGGTACATAACATGGTATCCCCAAAAAAAAACACGAATGAAACGAACCAAGGCATCCTTGAAGCTCCACACAAACACACACACAAAACGATGACGTCACACCATGCAAAGGCCATGTTGTTTTTAAAGCAAAAGAAGGCGGAGTTAGATGCTTTAAATAAATGGACAATTTTGCTGGGGAATCCTGTAAGGACACACCTTTTTCTCAAGAAAAAAAAATACTACGATTGAGGGGGCAGTGAGGGGGGATTTATTCCATTTGCATTGATTTCAAAAAGTAAACTTTGTCAAGCTTAAGTAATTGTTTATCAATAAAGTCTATTGTGTTAGTGTGTGCGTGTGACTGTGCATTTTACAGCCTTCTTTGCATATACAACGATAACAATTTGAATTTAAAGGATTAAAAAAAGGACTTCGTTAAAGGTATGAAAATGTAATCTTTATGCAACAACACTCAGCACAACTACCTTGAAGAGTTTCTTGATCATAATAGTAAAATAAAAAATCACTCAATTTTCTCCCTTTCGCATTTTTCTAAAAGGATAATAAATTCCCTCATTCATCTTCGAAATAGGTCAATGAGAAAAAAAAGAAAATCCTTGGTCTTTATGAGATTATTCTATTAATTTTATTTGGTAACATATCAAAGTAACAACAGAATGTCTCCATAATATAGAAAGATGAAGGAGGAGGAGAACAAAAAATCGCAAGGATTTTTTTGCCATTGTTTTCCCTCCTTCAAGGATAGCTGCAATAACAATGTAGAAGGACATTGTCATAACAAGAAGAACAATCTAATTCAATGTTATTTGAAAACTATTTGTATATTTGATAAATGTTTTCCCAGTAGCTGCTGCAGAAAATTTGTCCTTATGCCAAGGAATTTTGAATTGAAATATTTCTGTCTTTTTTTTGGAGTACAACAAAAATGTTGCAATATGTGCAATTTAAAACACAAAAAAAAATTAACATACTCTAATTTTGGATGTGGAGTTTTTAAATAATATTTTCTTAAATTAATGAAAATATTTTTTTTTCTAATGGATTTTATATGTGTAAATTTTTTAAATATATTTTTTTAAGGACAATATTTTTTTTCAAAGACGAGTAAAGGCTTGTTTTTTTTTTTTAAATACTTTTCAGGACCATCCAAAGCCAGTATTATTTTCAGGGCTCTACAAGACGTAGAATTTTCATAGGCGAGATTGTTAAAAAACAAGATTGTTAAAGAATATTTTTCAAAAGCCATCGAAGACGGATTTTTATACCTTATACAACTATGTTGTCAGGGAATTATAGCTTTGTGAAGCCCAAAAGTTTGTAACGCCGCGATTTATTAAAGAATATTTTTCACGATACAGGCCACACTATGGACCAATCTTCATGAAATTTTGCCAACTGTAGGATGGGTTTATTAAATGAATACCCCAATTGATTTTGGTAAAGATCATTAATATTTAGGGGAAACTGAAATTGTGGAAATACTTAATTAAAGAATCGGTTTTTCTGGTCGCTCCAGAGGCCGTGGATTTATGGTCAAGCGAAATTTTACATGGAGAAGGGAATCGGGCCAAAGAATAAGCATACCGCTTTTGATAAAGATCGGTCAATATTTAGCGGGTCAAATGGACCCTGACTTTTGTGTGAAAAATAACAAAATTTTTATTCTATGGCGTATATATTTACTCCTGAAGGACAAAGACCCGAGAAGTTGATAATATATCCAAGAGGAATGGTTGACCTTTAAATTTATACCAATTATATTGTCGTATGTACTCGGATAACTCGGGAGTTACATGTAAATATTTACAGGTGGCGGAAATAGAGGGCGGAAATAAAGTGGTGATCGCTTTGGAATTTTCCATGAGGTTCTAGTTATGGTCAAGGACAATGCTATATATTTTGGTGATGATCAGATTATAGTTATGGAATGAATTGGACCGAACTGAGGCTTGGATTTTTTTTTTGAATATTTTTCAAGGGCCAATAATAGCAGCCGTGGTAAAAATATTTTTCAACACAACCCACGGTGTGGATTTATTGGACAATTAATTAACTAGGCTGGTTTAAATATATATTTTTTAAGGACAATTCTATGCTTGGATTTTTTAAATGTGTTTTCAAGGGATTTCATACTTTGGATGGATTAGGATTTTTGAAGAACATTTTTCTAGGACCATTGAAATTTTTTTTTTTCAAGGACGAGTAATGGCTTGCTTTTTTTTTAAATACTTTTCAGGGCCATTCAAAGGCGTGGATTTTTTCAAGAATATTTTTCAACCGGCTAACACAGGAATGTTAAAGGAATATTTTTCAAGGGCCAACTGAGGCGTGGATTTATTAAAGAATATTTTTCAAGGGCCAACTGAGGCGTGGATTTATTAAATAATATTTTTCAAGGACCAACTGAGGCGTGGATTTAAAAAACATTTTTTAAAGGGCCAACTGATTTTATTAAAGAATCGATTTTTTCAAGGGCCAACTTTTTTTTAAATCTAATACTTTTCAAAGGCCATCCAAGGCGTAGATTTTTTAAAGAATATTTTTCAAGGGCAAACTGAGGCGTGGATTTATTAAAGAATATTTTTCAAGGGCCAACTGAGGCGTGGATTTATTAAAGAATATTTTTCAAAGGCCAACTGAGGCGTGGATTTTTTAAAGAATACTTTTCAAAGGCCAACTGAGGCGTAGATTTTTTAAAGAATACTTTTCTTTTCAAGGGCCAACTGAGGCGTGGATTTATTAAAGAATACTTTTCAAGGGCCAACTGAGGCGTGGATTTATTAAAGAATATTTTTCAATATTTTTCAAGAATACTTTTCAAGGGCCAACTGAGGCGTGGATTTATTAAAGAATATTTTTCAAGGGCCAACTGAGGCGTGGATTTATTAAAGAATACTTTTCAAGGGCCAACTGAGGCGTGGATTTATTAAAGAATACTTTTCAAAGGCCAACTGAGGCGTGGATTTATTAAAGAATATTTTTCAAGGGCCAACTGAGGCGTGGATTTATTAAAGAATATTTTTACAAGGGCCAACTGAGGCGTGGATTTATTAAAGAATACTTTTCAAGGGCCAACTGAGGCGTTTTTTAAAGAATATTTTTCAAGGGCCAACTGAGGCGTGGATTTTTTAAAGAATATTTTTCAAGGGCCAACTGAGGCGTGGATTTTTTAAAGAATATTTTTCAAAGGCCAACTGAGGCGTGGATTTATTAAAGAATATTTTTCAAGGGCCAACTGAGGCGTGGATTTTTTAAAGAATATTTTTCAAGGGCCAACTGAGGCGTGGATTTTTTAAAGAATATTTTTCAAAGGCCAACTGAGGCGTGGATTTTTTAAAGAATATTTTTCAAGGGCCAACTGAGGCGTGGATTTATTAAAGAATATTTTTCAAAGGCCAACTGAGGCGTGGATTTATTAAAGAATATTTTTCAAAGGCCAACTGAGGCGTGGATTTATTAAAGAATATTTTTCAAGGGCCAACTGAGGCGTGGATTTATTAAAGAATATTTTTCAAGGGC